GGACAGGGTCGGATGCGGATGGGGGTTTTGGGTGGTAGGGGGGGGGGGTGGAAAGTGTTTTCGGTGCCGGCAAAGCAGGGTTCGATGTAGCCATTGGCAGTTCTAGTAGCAGGTCGGATTATTATTGTGGCTTTTGGGGGTTTTGGATGTACGGGGGAATTAGGGGGGCGTGTGTGTATGTGTGTCCGAGTCAGTTTGCAACTTGTGCTGGGAGATCTTGGGACTGGAATGGTGTCTGAAGATGTGTACTCTAAATGTATGTGTCTTCAGGTAGCTAGAGTACACCGTGTATCGGTATGGTTCAGAGCCTGCACACCATGTCACAAGCACGTGACCTGCATTTCACCACCCTTCCCATCCCCAATCCCACAAGCACCATCTCACCCACACAACCCCCACCACCCAATCACACAACACAATACCACACCCACGCCGCGCCATCAGATCTCCCATCTCGCTGATCTCGGCACCAAGCCCAGCCGGGCCCGCGGCACCAGAGTGCGGGGCAACCGCCAATGAAGCCCGTCCACGCCGTCCAGGGCTGACAAGCTCGAGAAGTCGATCTGTCAGCCTGCGGCCCCCTCCGTTTTCCTTGATTCCTATCGTTGCGTGCGCAGGAGGCCTGCTCTGCGTCATGCACCAGCTTTTTCGACGGAAAACTCCAGGCCGTGTGGATTTTTTGTTCTGCGTGTGAGGGGGACTAGCGATTACACGGGAATCCGGGTTGGTTAAGCACGTGTTTTGGGGCTGCTTGTGAGATTGCGGGCCTACAGTGGGTTGGAGGGGACGGTGGTACTGACGGTGGTACCGGTACCTACCGTACGGCGACTGATTAGTGTGGTGGCCTGGGCGAGTTCAGCTGTCAGAGGGGACTGCTGCTGTTGTTGCTGCGAAATCAAGGCGTAATTGGGACGCGTGTGGTATAACTTTTGGAGAGCGGCTTGCGGGAAGAGTCAAGTTTGGGAATCAGAAAGGGACTGCTGTTTTTAAGAGACAGTTGCAGGGAAAGAGTAGGGAGGAGAGTGCGTGGGGAGCAACATTACGACATACGACGAGTGAACGGGCGAGGCTGTTGGAGACGAATCGCGCATGAGAACCGTCTTGAGGGGGAATCCTGCTCTCTTTCTGGCTTGATCGGGAAGGAGAGGAAAAAAGAAAGAGGGAAATCCTTTGCGGGTTTGAATGCGCAACGCTTGCTGTCACGATTGGGACGTGTTCACAGTCGAGAAATCAGGAGGATCTACACACGCATCGACATCCATCTACCGTCTGCAAAACAACGACCGCGACAATCCTCACCCACCAAACAACAATCCTATAACACGACGCCTTGCAAACATTTCCCACCACCAACCCACCGCAATGATCCACACAATGCCCATCACCCCACCCCACCACCACACCCCTTCCACCCCCGCCCCCAACCCCCTCACCACCCTCCTCACCCTCCAAACTCACTATCACAACACCAATCACACCTCCTCCCTACCCCTCCACCTCTTCATACTCACCCTCAAACTCTCCACCCTCATCTCCTCCACCCTCCTCACACCCACCATCATCCACCCCCTCACCCTCTACTTCTCCCAACTCTACAAACTCACTCACCCAAAACCACACTCACCTTATCCCCC